CAGCAGGGCAGCTTTCTCTTCGCAGGTTTCCTGGAGTTCAACATAATACTGGTGCTTACATCTCAGGCCCACATATTGATCATGTCATCATGCCTGGCTTCCAGCAGCTTGGAAATGTCTTTAAGCTGGGCCTGTGGCTGCCCCTGAATATACTCAGAAGAGAGGGAGAGTGGGCGGCAGGTGGAAACTGATGTGTGCAGCCTGTGCTGCTGGGAGTCGGTCCAATAGGACTGTCTGTGACGATGGAAATGTTCCGAGTGTTTGCCGTCCAGTATGGCAGCCATTAGCCACAGAGGGCTGTGGAGAACTTGATATATAGTCAGTCTGAGAAACTGAATTCTTCTAATAACAAGGATTCTTGTCAATGAATGAGATCTCTTGTCTACTATTTGCAAGAATTTCTGCATATTTTCTAAAAAGAAGTCCATTGCTTTAGTCCTATTCTGAAAGGCGTTTGGTGTTAAGACACAAGAGAACAGGTTCCCTGCTGACATTTTCAGAGGCCTGTGCCCTTCGGTCTTCAAGTGAGGCTGGGCTTGAAGGAGGCTTTGTGGAACGGTGAGAACAGTGTGACTAAGGCACAGAAGGCTAAGGGATGCCCTGCAGTACTTTTATAGGGTTGGAGGCCAGCTGTGAGAGAAGGAACCATTGCATTAGAGAATGGGAACATGCCTTAGGATACAGAAATGGCAAATCCGTGAGACAGTTTGAAGTGAGAATACTAGAAGCATTCCCACCAAACAAGGTGTGTCTTGGTGCCTGCTGTATCGCAGGCTCCGTGAGATGCTGGAGTCAGCACTGAACAAACAGAGCTTCCTGTGCTTGTGGAAATGCGTTTCATTGGAGGAAGGGATTTTTCTGCTGACTCTGGCTATTAATAGTAAGAATCAAAAAAAGAAATGAGGTAAATTGTTGGGAACAGGCCCCCAAATCTGGCCATAAACTGGCCCCAAAACTGGCCATAAACAAAATCTCTGCAGCACTGTGACGTGCTCGTGATGGCCATGACGCCCACGCTGGAAGGCTGCCAGTTTACTGGAATGAGGGCAAGGAACACCTGGCCCACCCAGGGCGGAAAACCGCTTAAGTGTTTCTTAAACCACAAACAGCATGAGCGATCTGTGCTTAAGGACGTGTTCCTGCTGCAGATAACTAGCCAGACCCATCCCTTTGTTTCCCGTAAGGAATACTTTTAGTAAATCTTATGACTGGCTTGCTGTCAGTAAATATGTGGGTAAACCTCTGTTCGAGGCTCTCAGCTCTGAAGGCTGTGAGACCCCCAATTTCCCACCCCATGCGCTATATTTCTGTGTGTGTGTCTTTAATTCCTCTAGCGCTGCTGGGTTAGGGTCTCCACGACCAAGCTAGTCTCAGCAAGCAGCGCCCATATGTGGGGTTCAGACCCAGGTCAAAGGGTCACTGGAGCGACGGAGAACATGCAACTAAGCTAGAGGACACCCGAGTACTCTTAAGCCATCCCCATGGTGAATAAGAAGGGGAGCTCGGAAGCATCATGGTAACAATGGGACAAATGTGGGCTCTGGTTCGTTACCTTGGAACCTTTTCACGCTAATAATAAGGGGGAAGGAGAGTATAATGAAGTAACAGAAGAAGTAACAGAGCAGGCTTGTTTGCCAGCTAAAGCTAAAGTGGCAAAGGAGGGAGAAGTTCATCCCTACCGTTCTGTACCCTCTCCTTATTTTGAAGAAAAAGAGTGGCCTGACCCTCCAGATCTTTATTTTCCGGAGGACACTGGGAGAAAAGTTGCTCCAGTGACTGTTCGAGCAGCGCCTCAAGCGACTGCTCTCAGTTCTATTCAGGCAGGAATTCGGTAAGTTAGAAGAGAGGGTGATACAGAAGCTTGTCAGTTCCCTGTTAGAACACACCCCACAGGTCAACAGGGAAATATTTTAGCTACATTTGAGCCTTTCCCTTTAAATTACTTAAAGAGTCTGAACAGGCTGTCAATCAGCATGGACCCGGTTCTCCTGTTGTAACGGGACTGGTAAAGAATGCTGCTGTCTCCAGTCGGATGATTCCTACTGACTGGGACGCTCTTACTCGAGCTTGTCTAACTCCTGCTCAGTTCTTACAATTTAAAACTTGGTGGGCAGATGAAGCTTCCATTCAGGCTGCTTGCAACGCCCAGGCCCAACCTCAAATTAATTAATGACTGCAGACCAGCTTTTAGGGGTTGCAGCTGGGCTGGTTTAGATGTACAAGTGGTCACGCAGGATGATGCCATAGAGCCGCTTAGAGGAGTGTGCATTAGAGCTTGGGAAAAAATCACTTCAGGTGGAGAACAGTACCCTTCCTTTAGTGCAGTTAAAACAGGGACCAAAAGAACCATATGCAGATTTTATAGCTCAGTTATAGGACTCTCTTAAAAAGGTGATTGCAGTTTTGGCTGCTCAGGGTATAGTTTTGCGGTTATTAGCTTTCGACGATGCTAATCCCGGCTGCCAGGCTGCTCTGCGACCTATTAGAGAGAAAGCACACTTAGTTGATTATATCAAGGCCTGTGATGCTATCGGAGGTAATAAAGCTAAAGCTACATTGTTGGCACAGGCAGTGACGGGACTGAGAGTGGATAAAGGAAATCCTCTGTTCTCTGGAGCTTGTTTTAACTGTGGGAAGCGTGGTCATACTAAACAAGAAAGTAGAAAAAAATCAGCGAATCAGGCTGCCAGATAGGGGAAAAAAGAAAACTGCAGAGCCTGAAATATGTCCAAAATGTAAAAAGGAAAACATTGGGCTAATCACTCACTTTAAGTTTGATAAAGATGGGAACCCAATTTCGGGAAATGCCATGAGGAGCCCGTCCTGGGCTCCGTTCCAAACCAGGGCATTTCCGGCTCAGGCCACTCCTTCACCCCTGTACAATGTCTGTCCCCCACCACAGCCGATAGTGCCGCAGTAGATTTATGCTGCGCAATAGCTGTGAGCCTTCTGCCTGGGGAGCCCCTGCAAAAGGTCCCAACAGGAGTCTGTGGACGCTTGCCAGGGGGGACGATAGGATTACTTTTAGGAAGATTTAGTTTAAATTTAAAAGGGGTACAAATACATGCAGGAGTCATTGATTCAGATTACAATGGGGAAATTCAAATTGTTATATCTACTTCTGTTCCCTGGAAAGCTGCACCAGGAGAGCGCATAGCACAGCTCCTGATTGTGCCGTATGTGGGAACGGGGAAAAGTGAAACTAAATGAACAGGAGGATTTGGAAGCACAAATAAACAAGGCAGAGCAGCTTATTGGGTGAATCAAATTACTGTTAAACGTCCTACCTGTGAAATAACTATTCAGGGAAAGAAATTTAAAGGTTTGGTAGGTACAGGAGCAGACATTTCAATCATTTCTCTACAGCCCTGGCCGTCCGCGTGACCAATTCAACCTGCTCACTTTAACATAGTTGGAGTTGGCAAAGCTCCTGAAGTATATCAAAGTAGTTATATTTTACATTGTGAAGGGCCCAGTGGACAACCTGGGACTACTCAACCAATTATAACTTCTGTACCTATAAATTTATGGGGGAGAGATTTATTACAACAATGGGGAGCACAAGTTCTAATTCCAGAACAATTATATAGC